CTCTCTGTCTCCTTCCCACTTGCTTCAAGACTTTATTCCAATGTCATTTTCTTTATTAAAAATTTTTTTGAGGGGAGGGAGAGGGGCAGAGGGAGATAAAGATTGAGAGAGAGAGAGAGAGAGAGAGAGAGAGAGAGAGAATCTTAAGCAGGCTCCATGTTCAGGTTGGAGCCTGAGGTGAGGCTGGGATCATGACCTGAGCTGAAATCAAGAGTTAGACCTCAACCGACTGAGCCACTCAGGAACCACCCCCACAATGTCATTTTCTTAGTGAAGCCTTCCCTGGACATCTAATTTAACAAGGCAGACCATCTCCTTCTTGTCTTCCTTTTCCCTCTTTCTACTTTTTCTCCTAAACACATCACTACTGAAACACAACACGTTTTATTTGTTTATTGTCTGCCTCTTACACTAGGGTGTGAACTTTGTGGAGGCATTTTGTTTTCATTTATTTTCACTCCAGCAACCAAAATACTGGCTGATACATAGAAGGTTCTCAATAAATAATTGTTGAATGAATGCACTAAAAGTTTCAGTTATATTTTTCATATACATTTTTTCTATTTATGCAAAAAGTCCTGAGAAGAGGAAGATGGAAACAAATTTGTTCCAGTTTAATCGGGCTAGTCTGTTACAGGTGAATGTCTCCCAAGAATAGCAGATCAGAACTCATTTACTTAATCCTCATTTATACAGCTTTCTTTGGTATGAGCAGAACGATGTGAGAAGAGATCAAGTTCTACCTTCAAGTGAGAGAAACTTAATGAGACTAGTAGCACTATTAAGAACAAACACAAGCTGAGACATTAATGGTCTCTATTTAAAGTTATAATTAGGATTGTTTGCACAGTGATTCAGGCTTTCCTGGAAGGCAGTTACTATATATATGAATTCTTGTCAAAGATACTGTAGAAGAAGTTTGGCCTTCTGTGGAAAATTGACCTAGAAGACCTCTACGGTGTTTTCTGCCTGAACAAATTAGAAACCGATGACCGAGAAGAGGAAGCTGCTGTGTGGGATGTGCAAGACCAGTTGCCCAAGGAAGAATGCACAGCCACATTTCATGTCTCATAGTTCTCAGTCTTATAAGCTCCCAGTGAGCTTTAGCAGGTGAGAAGGTTATTATATTTTGGTTGGTTGGTTTTGTGTTTTAAGAGAAGCTGGCCAAGACCTAGCAAACTGAACCAAAAGACATTCTATTGTTATTACCTATTTTCTGTCTAATCAATTTTCAGCTAACTCTGATTTTGGCTAGAAGAATGTATATACAACAAGTAATTTTCACTTTGGTATTTTCCATTATGAATTCATAAGGACATTCTTCACTACCCCTCTAGTAAATCAGAAAATGGAATGAATATGGTATAATGCTAGGTGACATGATTTGCAATTTTAAACTCATAAGCTGTCTTTATCAGTAGACTACCACGGAATAGAAATTGTTCTTCTTTACTTCTTTCATTAATTATTCTTTTCATTACAGTATAATTTTAACTTAACCTTAGAAGATACTAAATAATAAAGCTTTGTAGTTACAAATTAGTCACATTTACATTCCTCAGGTAATCTTAAGGATCATTTTATGAGTTTATTGCTCTAATCCTACTATTTATTGATGCTTCTACATATATATGTATTTTTTAAATAATGAAAAAAACCATATGAAGTAGGAATTCTTATCAGCATGATGAAAATCCTGGGGTCCAGAGAGTTTTAAGTAATTAGACACATTTACACATTTTAGTTAAAAAAAAAATGAACTGTATTCAAACCCAGGTTGACATGCCTGCAAAGTCCAGGTTTTTAATTCCCACACTGTGATCATTGTATAGATGAGTAGATAAGTCTTAGAGAAGCCAAGGTACTTCTCCAAAACTATATACCTAAGACCCAGAAGAAGCAGGAAAGGAAAGCAGATAGTTTTTTTTTTCTAGGAATAGTGTTCTTTCCATTTTTAATAATAGATTTTTTTTAAATGTGTGACATTCAGTAACAGCATTAGAAACACTAACCCAAGTTTAAAGGTGATGCAATAGTTATATATTTAAAGAAAAAGAAACAGCAAAGTCTAAAAAATAATTAACCAATCTTCTCAGCACAGGATGGAAAATTATCAATAGCCTAGTCTAAAACATTTTTATTTCACAGAATCTCTGATTGAAATTTTCTCTGTATGGATATTTATGCTTTCTCTTTACATATACACAACTGTCAAATTAAATTCTTTATGGCTAAAAGACATAAAGGTAAAAAAGAAAAAAGAAAATGTAGGAAACTGTGTGTACACACTTTGAAAAAGAGATGTTTTCTTAAACAATTCTGAAGACTTTGGAATATATATATGTATATCAATACATACATGACCGTTTACAGCTTCTATGTGCCATTTCATATCTTATAACTTTATGATTTATTTTGGAAATGCCAGGATATGGGGAATGTACCCAATTTGTATTACTACAAAGAATGGAAGGTATATGAGCTGTGCGTGCATGTGTGTGTGTGTGTGTGTGTGTGTGTGAGAAAGAGAGAGAGAGAGAGAAAGAACATAAGAATAAAACAAGGCTTTGACTACATGTATCTACTTGACTGGCTACCTCTGAAATTTATGAGTCTCTTATTGTCTCACTGTTTATACTCTTTGCATACTCTTACCCAATTCCCATACATCAGCTATAAAGACCTTCTTGAGAGGTAATAATGAATCACAACATTCCCCTATTTTAGTAGCATTTTTTTTCCCATCCAAATAAAAGCCGAATTCCTAAGGGCAACAGGTCCTTCATCATCTGTCCCTTGTTACTATCCCTCCTTCCATGCTCTCTCATTTGACATGTTCCAGTTCATGTTGATTTTAACTTTTTTTTTTACAATTATTTATTTTTGAGAGACAGAGCACAAGTGGGGAGGGGCAAAGAGAGAAGGAGACAGAATCCAAAGGAGGCTCCAGAGTCTGAGCCGTCAGCCCAGAGCCCTACACGACAGGGGCCCCAACTCACAAACCGTGAGATCATGACCTGAGCCGAAGTCCGCTGCCTAACCGACTGAGCCACCCAGGTGCCCCAATTCATGTTGATTTTAAACTGGCTTCTTGAATGTACCCTCAGGCTTTTGCCTAGGCTATGCTTTGTTTGGATGCCTTGCCACCCTCTCTTCTATGTGAACAGCTCCTGATCAGGCAGGCCATCACTAATATTTTATCTCCTCAGGGAAATATACTTGATCACTCTTCTTCAAGTAGATGTTCTCTTTAATTTCTATAAGAGCACCCGAGTTTTTTTTTTCCATAGCATTAATCATAATTTAAGTCATTTTGTTTGATCATGTGTTTTAGTTTTCTTTTCTTTCTCTCTCACCAGACTATATTTCACAGATCCCATGATCATTTCTCTGTGGTGGAGTTCTCTACAGTTCTTAGATCACTGCTTGGTACAGAACTGTTACTTCCCAAATATTGTATGAAAGAATGGATAAATAAATGATGAATGAGTGAGTACATATTTCTTAAAATATTTTCTGAGTGTCCTTATGTCTTCTTGGAGAAAAAAAAGTGAATGTTATCTGAAATGATATGGTATAGAAAGAGGTTGTAAAGTGTGGAGAGCTTTGGCTTCTAATGTAGAATAGTAATATAACCTATGAATGTAATCATCCTCAAGAAAACAAAATTATTCTTAACAATTAATAGTATGAAGGAAAGGAACTCTCCTAAAAACCACTTAGTATTCTTATTCTGAGGTTTAAATTCATTAATATCCTATGTGTATCTAGTAAATCCTAAAATGTCTACCCTCTTATTTCCCCCAGTCAACATATAAGTCCACTTACTCAATGATTCTCTCCCACCCTCCACTTCCTCCCAGTAACTGTCGAACTTCTAGAAGCCAGTGGATTTTAGGATCAATACTTGGGTCCTGGGAAAGGACTTTAATATAATAAGGGTGAAGGAGTTAGAGGCCATTGCTAACATTTCAAGGACATTCACATCCTAATGCATCATTAGTACTTGGAAAGAGGTTTATATCAGCATCATTAGCTTTTAAAATAATGATATCAACTAGGTTCACTCTAGGGAAGCATAATAATAGCAGCAGCAGATAAAGGACATCATATGAAAAGGCACAAAATTATGCTAGAACCTGCAGCAGAATATTTTCTATAGCCATCAAAATGTTCTCCAACAAGGAACTCAGACATGGGGTCCAAATTACTCTGCTGTTGAAGGTTATAGAGAAAAAGTGTATACCACCCTTGTTTCTGTGATTGACATCCATTCATTCATTCATTCACCCCATAATTATTTACTGAATGTTAACCATTGTGATTTTCACCGTGCTAGCCACTGGGATAATTTTAAACAACAATCATTCAGTTCTTCCATGCAGATTGATAGGGCTTGAGGAAGACAAGATTACTTCTGTATATGTTTTTATAAACCACAGCCCAGAATAAAAACTAGCTTCATGTTTTACACAAAGGGATGCTTCATAATCTTTTTTTTCCCCTGGTAAAATATCTTCTAAATGATGGTTATTTAAAGAAAGATAAAGATTTTCACTTTTGAAATAGACATTTGTAGGCACCTTATTTAGTGACAAGATTAACTTTTACCCACCACATCATAAGTAAAGATAAGGTTTTCATCTAAAAACAAATGCAGGATAGGAAGTACCCCAAAGTCATCTGAAAGAATTGGATAATCTTAATGATATTTGGAACGGGACTTGTAAAAACCTTTTCGGTCTTCATGTACTAGCTTATGTTTTCTAGCTTTGGAATTCCATTGGAGACAGGTCCAGTAGACACAGCACAGAAGGCTTTGAATTCCTTCTGCTTAAGCAATGTGTCAACTCAAATCTTCTGTAAATCGATAGCAGGTATAATTTAACTACAAACTCTATGTCGGAGTTAAAATAAAAATAAATAAACCAATCTCAATGTAGCAATTTCAATATGGGAGACAAAATAGTGGACTCTAAATGAAGAACTATGACCAGTACCTTTTGAATGCCTGCTTGGGATTCCAGAACGTTATTCTCTGATCCATTGCTTCTGTTGATCATCCTCCACATTTGGGAATACATGCTGTCCCTTTCAAAAGGATTCATTCCCTTCATCCGGACATGTTCATACACGGCAGAGTCCAGTACTGTGCCATAAGGGATGTCTGTTTGCTTGGAAAGGTCCTGGAGAGATCTTCATTATTAGGAGAGAATAAAGACACAAGAAAGAGTAGTGAACACTTTCAACTGGAAATAAAGCTATAGAAAGCAGAGAATAATATAATATAGATGTCAAATTGCTTTCTTATTCTGTGGTTTCTTAATATTAAAATGTAATATACAAGGAGAATTGTTGTTAGGGTATATGGCACTTCCACAAACCATCCGAAGGCAAAATCATTACTAAAAGAAAAATGAAAATTTCTAGTGGTAAGGCAATGCTTTTTTGTGTGAACTTCACTGTGAAAAGAGCAAAAACAAAGCTAGTAATGCCATTAAAGCAAAGACAAATTAAATTAGATTGCTAGATAATCATATAATCATTTAGTTTTTAAAAAGTTCAATATGTTACAACCCTTAAGCTTATGTTCTTTTAGGTGACAATGCTTGAACATTTTTATAAAATAATTATATTTTGCATAAACAGCATATTTTGAGGTCAAGTGTACTACTTAAAAATTAGTATTTATGATAGTCACTATTTAACAATTGGCTACCCCATACATTTAGCACCTAACATATGTTTTTCTCACAGCAATGCCCCATTTTCAGAAATATTTCACCCATTTTATAGATGAAAAAACAGGTTGAGAGTATAAAAAAACTTGCTCCTTGGCACAGTCAGTGAGGGATCAGACAGGTTTCAGATGTAGATCTGACCGGCTTCAAAGGCTATAGTATTTTCACTGCAAGCTGTTGTCTCTTATTTCTATATTTCTTTTGCTCTATTGGCTTTAATTTTGTGTGTGTGCATGTGTGTGTGTACATGCACGCATGCACGTGTGTGCATGTGTGTGTGTGTGTGTGTGTGTGTGTGCGTGAGAGAGAGGGAGAGAGAAAGAGAGAGAGAGATTTCTATTTGTACTCAAATAGAATAAAATTCATGATTCTGGAAAGCTAAATATATTTTCAGCTTCCTCTTTTACAGAATAATGCTCAGGATTGTCAAATCAGTCTCTACGTTATAGATAGTATTAGCTTGTCCTAGGTTATTCATCAGTTTCCTGACATTTCAGTTTCTGAGCCACTCTATACTTTCTAACTTGGAGAACCAATTGCTGTTCCACTGAAACTCATTGAATTTGTGTAGGTGCTCAACTCTAATGACTGAGTTTTAGGAACAAATGTGTCTTTGGCATGCTCTTCAAAAGTAGACGCTGGCATATTCAAACTCACTAACGTCTGAGAACGGCGGCAGATGCTTTGGAACACTACACCGTATTTTCAATAAGAATACTCACAGTCCTCCACAAACATGGGTCATATGTATACCTCTGACCTTTTTGGTCTGTTTCTAGATGGAGTTTGGTAATGACTTCCTGGGGGCCTTTGCAAACAACACTAGCATTGGGCAAGGGTATTGGGAATACTCTTGCAGGTCACCAGTTTCCATCATGTGCAAAACTGTATCCCAAACGATAAATTATGGGCTGTGTTTGCTAGAGGAGGATTTGTGCCAATTTATAATGACAACTTTGAGCAGAATTTGGTCTATGTTTTATTGAGTTTGGGTTGTTGATGTGTATTATTTACTCTATGGAAACTACCATGATAATTCCTTTTTGTTCAATACTTCGGCTGCATAAAATGATGCATTTAAAAATCACTATTTCCAAGGAAAAATTTGCTGGAATATTCTACAACTATTAAACCAATTCTACCTCTTGTAAAAAGATAAAATGACAGTATAAATTATAATTGAAGGGTACATCAGGAATAAAAGTGAGCTACACGTAGCCAGGGTGCAAGCTAATACCAGAGTGACAGGGCATATGTTCCTGGGACATAGCATGCTTATCTTGTTAACGGTATAGCAGTAAGAATTTTATTTCCAAATACAATTTGCTTCTCACTTACTGCTGTTTCCAGTAGTAGGAGTGAAACTATTCAAAACATTAACATTTTAACATATTTCCCACTCTGTAGTGGAGGATGCTGTAAAGTGGTAGCACAGGGGGAAAACTGAAACATTAATACAGATCATAATAGCAGGCCTCATTTGTTCAATATCTATAAATACAAGGGCCTATTCTAGGTAGATGTATAGAGCTTGTACCTTCTAGAACCAAAGGTCTCATGGCTAACGGCCATGTCATGGTTCATCAGAGACCCTCTTAGGATAGGATTGGACACTTGCTCCTTAGAAGATTCAGCGATCAATCTCTCCTATAATTCTCAGAAATCTTCAATTTGGTGGTGGTGAGATCATAATCTAGGGCTCAAATTTTTATATGCTTATACTTAAGTATATAACTTGTTTGCCCAAACAGTCATACCAGCAAAATACTGTTAAATAAATGAACACTCCTCTTAGCTTTCCATGAAAAGAAAATTGAAATAAAATGTTGGGATCATTAATATAATCAGGTTCCTGTGGCATAACATCGCTTTAAATATTAGCTTCACAGCTTGAATATCAAACTATAATACAAACAATATTGTTGGTGAAACTGATTTGTATACAAAAATTTTAAAGGGATATCTCAATCTATTGCTTAGGTGAAATTCCTGATGTCAGAAAAAAAAAAGCATTTTATTTTCAACATACTTCAGATTCAGAATAGCAGAGCTTTTTGTAACTTAGAACAAAGGCATTTTCTCTCTAGCTTCGTTTCTGATATCAAGTTCAGCTTATAGATTTGCCTTGAGATATGTTTGCAATAAAAATTACAGCTTGTCTGATTCAGCATCGTTCCATTATAGTATACAGAGATAACACTGAAGGTGACAAAAATAAAATGAAGCAAAATGAAGTGAGCACAAACAGCTTATTACAGAAAGTGAAGGCTGTTTTAGGAGCCCAACACAGAAAGAGAGTGCCCATTATATGTGGTCATTTTGTTATTTTCATGTTAGTAAGATTTTAGAGCAATATCAGCAGAAATGGTGTGGCCTATATTATAAGCCCCTAAAAGAAATCTAGCAAATTATTCCACTAGTGGTAGAATAGGTAGTAATCCTCAAAAAAACTGTATTTGAAGTTCAACATCTGAGTGAATTTAGAAGGGCCAAGTCTTTGTTTTCTCTTTTGTTTTTCCAAATCCTTTTTTAAAAAAATGCAAAACAATTATAAAATAATTAATAAATTAATATAAATATATTCACCACGGCCAATATATAAATTAACCATGGCAAATACTGCCATTTATTTTTAACCGTTGACAACGCTTACCCAGGCCACAGAAGAAATGGGAACAATCTAGAGCATTCTAGAAAATTGTTAACTTGAAATATACTCATACCAATATATTCCATTTCTCCACTTAATCACACAAAACCCACAGGTACTCACGTAAAACTCAGCAAATGATCACTCCGCAAATCTGTTATTGTTCAATCTTCCTCTCCCAACCCCACACCCCAACTCATGCACACAGAATTAAAAAAAAAATGAGAGTCTATAGCTATAAGTGGTGAATAATAAAAGAAAGCAAATGCTTTGCCATCTAATCACTTTGTTTTCCCAACATCTTTTTGAAATTCGACTTTTATTCCTTGTACTGGTGTTCTACACCACTAACAACCCGTGGGTACTAAAGAATACTGACAGCTGATAAGTAAGTGACATTTAGTTATTTGCATGAATGTTACATATACTAAGAAACTGTAATTTAGGGCACTTCTGGGAAGTAAATTTGAGGAATTTGGGTGGATGTAGGCTGATTGCAAACTCTTTCCGTGAGAGAAATAAACACTCAAAACCCTTCAAGCATAGAAATTTAATGTTGATACATGTGATCCTCTGATATTAGATATTAGTAACTTTGACATTGGGTAAATTAGATTTAAAAATTTTTTTTTCTTTAATGTTCATTTATTTTTGAGAGACAGAGCGTGAGCAGGGCAGGGGCAGAGAGAGAAGAAGGCACAGAATCAAAAGCAGGCTCCAGGCTTTGAGCTGTTAGCACAGAGCCAGATACGGGGCTTGAACTCATAAACTGTGAGGTCATGACCTGAGCCGAAGTCGGATGCTTAACTGACTAAGCCACCAAGGCACCCTGGGGCAAGTTAGATTTTAAAGTCAAGCAAACAGATTATTTGTGTGCCATATGATGTTAGTTATCCCTGTTAACTGGAATTTCTTCATCTAAAAATGGAGAGAATAAGAGTATCTAAAGGTGATGATAAAAGGACCTGTCATATCAGCACTCAATCAAGTTACCTACTGTTTTATATGAAGATTATTATTATTATTATGATTCACCTCCTACTAATGCCCTATTTAATAATTTCTAATGGATTTTAGTGTGTGGCAGGATAGCCCCTTTATAAATATTGTTGATGAGCAGATTCATGAATTGGGGTCGAAATGAAGACTCATTAGGAAATGAGTACAAGATTTTATCCAAGTACAAGATTTTATATTTAATTTTTTAAATTACTCATTTTATGAGTAACTTAAAATATTTAAATATATTCTTTAAATATTATTTAAATAACTCATTTACATTTCTAAAAGTGTCAACTAGTTAAAAATCTAATGCCTATCCTCTTGCAGTGAACTTTCACTCATATTTTTCACCTATTTTCCTTTTAACAAGAGAATAGATTTTACTCACATAAACTTTAAAATAACACTCCTAAATCTCTCTTTTCCATCTGTTTTCTTTCTTCTTTTTAAACATTTGAGCTTGGTTTTGTGGGATGCTCAGCAACAAATGGCTGCCAGCTCTAGCTCTGGGGAATTGTAAGTCTAATCCCATTTTTAATGGAATGGAATAAGTCAACTTAAGTTATCACATCAGAAGCGATTTTTCTTCGGGGGAGAGAAATGGAACACGGTTGATAGGATGGGTGCTAGATGCTTCAGGCACAGGGGATGACGGCGGGAGAGAGACAAACAAGTGGGGATATATTAAAAGCGTCTTCCACCTCGGTTCAGGTTTTTTCTCCCACACTCCCTCCCCAGTTTCTTCCTCTGGATGCTGATTTCAGCATCTGCCAAAGGAGAAAATTTTGTTGCAGCTCTAGGAG